CCCGGCCCAAACCCCCCCCCCCCCCCTCCCCCAGGCGTTTTCAGTCATAAAGTTTGTATCAAATTTGTCTATAGCAGCTTTTTCTCGTGGTAGGGAGGTCACCTCCCCGCCTTCCTCCCCTCCAGCAATTGTGGCCTTTGATGGAGTGTGAAAAATGACACGAAAAGTTACGATTTTCCCCTTCACTGTGTCCTCAAGGGTGCTGCTGTGGGGCGGTGGGTCTTTTTTCACAGAGGTCTGGGCCTTTGGGTGGGCTCAGATCTCACCCCACGCTAGATGCGTGTCAAGAACCCTAAAAACCTAATGTTCCACATTAAAAATTAAAGTTAGGTTGGGTTTGGTTTTTGGATTTGTTTTTTTGTGCTTCTGGGAATTGGTGCTTGCTAACTCTTGGTCTTTCATCTGAAACTGAAGAGTTTGTTAGCTTAATATTCTTGGTGTGTGACTAGTACCTTCATTTTTGCCTCTATGATTTTTATTGGATGCGTACAGAAAGAGGATAAAGCTGCTCAGAAAATTCACAGCTAATTAATAATCCCTACCTGACTTCAAAGGTGCTGTTGTCAGTGGTGCAGTGGCCTGGTTATAAACGACTTCGGAATGATTCACAAAAATAACAGCTTGGCTTACCAGAGGAGAGATTGAGGTCTAAATGGTGTGGAGAGTAAAATACCATTTATTCTGTGAAAATGGAAGTGAAGCTCCCAATAAATATGCAGTGTTTTTGAAGTTTACGTTGCTGCTGCCTTCATATTCGATGCTCTGTGGCTTCAATTTTTGGTGGATTACTGTGCTGTATACCAGTACTTTTTACCTTTAATTTTATATTAATAGACATCTGACAATTAGCAGAAAAAGAAATGAGTTAATAGAACAGTCACAGAGACAATAAGGAACAGAAAGATGAGACACAGTCTGCAATAGTTCAGACATGTCTCAGCTTCTTTAATGGATCTTGACCTATAATTAAAAGTTAATGCTTTCATATATGTCAACTGAGACCTGCCACTGAGACCATCAGGATATAAACAAACAAAATTACAGTAATATATCTGACAGTACTTTGACAGAAATATCTAGAAATTCAAATTCAGTCAATGGGAGACAAAGTATCTCTGCTCTTTGAAAGTTCCCTGAGACCCTGACAATAAATGGTGTTCAGTGAGTCCCTTATAAATTTCATATGTAGCTGAATCAATCAGGGTCACGATCAAGTTTAAGGAGAAAGAAAAAGATAAGGTGGTTGGTAGTGGTTAATATTAGTATTATATGTAATATGTCTTACCTAGTTCATGGTTTTCTCAGTTTCTGAATCTTTATTTTCCTCCATTGGTGCTTAGTATGAGCTCTTCTAAACAAAAAAGACTTCACTCTACAGAGGACAGTCTTTCCAATGTGTGGTTGAACTGATAGTCAAAAGTACTCTGCAGAATTAATTCTAGTCAAACATTTAAAAGTATTTCAATAAAGCCTTCAATCTTATCCATTCATTTCTCCCTGTGAAAGATAAAATCTGCATTAAAAAAAAATGAAATAGTTCAACTAAACAGAAAATTTAACGTTCTCTACATAATTTTATTTTTATTTATGTCTGTAAAGCATCGATTTATATTAAGACAACAGGTCAAAAAACAAAGTTGAGAGGAGGAAAGGGGCTTTGAAAAGTACAAAATTGTGTTATATTCTCTATAATACAACACCATTAGCAGTGTAATACTTAGAGTTGAAAGGCTGAGAAGACAAATTGTACAAGCAAGGACTGTGTATAGAGAAGAAAAAAAGAATGTCCCAAATCATTTTCATAGACATGTTTCGTTTTGTATTCCATTTGTCACAGTAAGATGTCTATTTAGTGAACATGAATTCTTATACGTTTATGATATTTTTTACCTTTTCCACATGGAAAAGTTGTAAACCCATTTGATCTCTTGGGAATTATCACCTTTGTAAGTGACATATACTTTCAGCCATGTGCAGAGACAAAAGAGGTTATTCCTGAGTCATTTCTAAACTCCAGCAAGCCCTGATTGCAAAAATTACCTCCGGGTATGAGCAATTTTCATAATTTACAACAATCCCTGCATTTTCGTTTGGGGACACTAACCTACACTGAGATGGTTTCATTACTGGAAAAACATAAGATTGTTTTAAAGGTACTCCAAGTTGTTTCAGTTGCCCCATGTCTGCAGCCAAAGTAGTACAGTGTTTGCCGAGAGAACAGTGACACGTTAAGGACTGCCCAAGTAGCATGACAAAAACAAAATATGATTTTCAAATGCTTATAGTCTGATGTTTCAAGGAATGTTTAAGTTTTTCCAATAGCAATTCAAAACTGAAGATGAAAACACGAAATTTTGTATGTGTGTTGACAGAATTTTAGCTCAATTTCTCTTTCCCAAAAGAAAATTTTCCTTTTTTTTTGCATCCAATAACAGTTGCATCAGTGAGAAAAACTATTATTGTTTATGTTGATAATCCTTTTTAGGACTAGAAAAGCATCTTCAGTGCTATGAAGGAAGAATTCAGAGAGGATCAAGTACATTTAGAACAAAAGGTACCTATTAAATCATGGTATTGTAATTGATTTTGAAATACAGATAACTTTATATTCTATTTACAGTTTGATCTGAATCATCAGAACATCATTTTTGAATTATAGACACATAGTTCAGTAATCTAATATTTTATTTATTTTCTAAAATGAAACTGTTTTTTTGTAATTCAATATACACATACCAATTAGGTTTAAAGACAATAAAAATAAAAGACAGGGCATTTTATGACTCAGCTGCAACTTTAAAAATATTTTACTAAATAAATGATGGGAAAGGTACAAATTTTAGAAACTGCCTGTATCATAAACTAGAATATTCTTCAGAATAATGGCCTCAAGTTTGTACTAATATAATACCACTTATAATTTCTGTGATATGAACAAAAAATAGTGGCAAGCTTCATTAGATTGCTTGAGAGAGTAAGATGACTTCCTCGGGATTGTCTCATCCTACCTTTTGCATTTTCTTGTAGGTGATTTGGACCAATTTTCGTGTAAAAGGCGCTTCCCACCTACCACAGCCTAATGCAGGTGCTGTTGATGTTATTGTCCCTGCTGGTAAATGAGAGTGGGAATATCTAGTGGCTTATTCTGACCCTCTCACAGAACAGCAGCAGAGACAGTCCACTCTCCTCATCTCAGCCTCTTCCCTTCTGCCGTGTGAAGCAGCATTATGTTCTGGGTCCTCCTTCTTGTCCTTTCCCCACAGTTGGCTGTAGCCTGGAAATTGTTTGGCAAATTGCTGTTGTTGTTAGAGAGAATGAAAGGGGGAAGCAACTCAGTTGGCTGTAGCCTGGAAATTGTTTGGCAAATTGCTGTTGTTGGTAGAGAGAATGAAAGGGGGGAGCAAGCTTGTGCAGAGGTGTGGCCATAGGTGGCTGCAGCATTTTGAATTCAGGATGTGTGTATGGCTGTCATGAAACTTGTATATGACTCCTATGCTGCCAAAGTTGGCCTGTTCTGAGTCTAGGGCTTAACATTTTCTCCAATGTCTTGACACCTGATTCTAGTACCATGATACGTAAGGACGAAGCACTTTCCAGAGGTTTCCATTCTCTGTTATTCCCATCAACCAAGGGATCAGTCTGATTTCTTCCAAATGCATAGCAGGCCAAATGGGAAACTGTGATCCTTCTCAATGATGA